CTATTTCCTCCTTTTTGGTTCTAGTTGTTGGTGCATATATTTGAATGATAGTGGTATTCACTGGACTTCCTTGTATGTGTATAGATATTATCCTGTAGCTCACCACATTGTATTTCAGGATAGATCTAGAAATGACTTTTTAAATTATGAAACCAACCCCATTTTTTCTCACCTTTTCATCCCCGGCATAATATTAGCTACAGGATTTTTTAATAAGGTAGAATATTTTGTTACAAATATTTTAAATGAGTTAATATGGCAACTTTTGAAGATGGCATATCATAATCATATGATGACTCTAGAGATCTACCTTCAGAATGCTGTTTCCATCATCATTTTCTGTAAGAAAGAATGTTTATTTACTTTCTAATTACTGGTCATTTAGTACTGATAACCAGAGCTTATTTTTTTCCTGCATATCTAGTATTTCACATATAATTGATGACCACTTGTTATCACCAAAACCCCCAACTTTGTAATTCTTCTGATTTTGTGTAATAATAATGACACAAAATCTTCATATTTTATAGTTCTTTTCAAATAATTTTTATAATGTTTTTCAAAACTTTGTGGTTAAAATAATTCTTAGCTCCATCTCCATCTCAATACCAAAATTATTCGACAGAGTACAGTATACAATATTAATACATGATGTGATACATAAGTACATCCTGAACACTCTTGCCAGATTCTGACTTGCCTATGCCAAGTGCAGTGTATGCATTTGCTGTCTCTAAAAATAACTTTGATCAGAGGAGCCATTGATTCAGTTTTTTCCCAATTGAAAACACATATATATGTCGATAAAGGTATAATTCACTGCACTGGAGTTGGTTTTCATTCATAGCAGCCCTCCTTCAGATTTCTAAAGCATATATTTTAAGGGGAAGAAATGGCCCTTTCTTCTCCCACAGAGCCACATGGGATCCAAACCATTAGAGACATGCTGCATTTTGGTTAACAATGCAGCATGCTTTAGATTATTACACCAGAGCCCTTCATATATATGAAAAACTCAGACTCAGAAACAACTCATAACTAGTGTTCCAGCAAGTTGTCCAAAGCAAGTAAATCATGTGAAAGGAGTCTACCCATCTTTATCCCGTGGAGCCTTTAGTATATTTGAACTACCACACATGTTCAAGTTGTAACACCACTC